GAGGTTCCTCTCCGCCCACCTCTCCAGCCTGTCCAGGTCCCTCTGAATGGCAGCACAGTCTTCTGGTGTGTCAGCCATTTCCCCCAGTTTAGTATCATCAGCAAACTTGCTGAGGGTGCACTCTGTCCCTTCCTCCAGGTCATCGATGAATACATTGAACAAGACTGGACCCAGGACTGACCCCTGGGGGACACTGCTAGCCACAGGCCTCCAACTTGACTCTGCACCACTGACCACAACCCTCGGAGCTCGGCCATCCAGCCAGTTCTCAAGCCACCTCACTGGCCACTCATCTAGCCCACACTTCCTGAGCTTACCTACGAGGATGTGATGGGAGACCGTGACCAAAGCCTTGCTGAAGTCCAGGGAGACAACATCCACTGCTCTCCCCTCATCTACCCAGCCACTCATTCTGTCATAGAAGGCTATCAGATTGGTCAAGCATGATTTCCCTGTGGTGAATCCATGCTGACTACTCCTCATCACCTTCTTGTCCTCCAGATGCTTAGTGATGAATAACGCTGTAATCACAAGTAATTTATTCAGCTCTTCTGTGCTTTAATTTGCTATCATTAGACAGCAATAATAATAATTCCTTACTTTACAATATATTGTGAGACTTAGTGCATCAGTATTTTTTGACTATTTGCTGTTACAAAAACCTTGCAGTGAAATAGGTATTTAAGAATGAGGTTGCATTTTGCTTTATTTCATCTCTTTATGAAATTCAGTCACATATCTGAGTTAGTCCTATTTCTGCAAGCCTAGACTTTCATTTTGACACAGTCTTTAGCCTTGCTAACAGGTGTATTAGTATCTCTTCCAATAGAACTATTTTTAAAAAGGAGTGTAATAAATAATATTAACATAATATGCTGTCCAAATCCCACTGAAGTGAGGTATTGGTCCAGGTCCCATCAAAATCAACAGATATCTTTTTATTAGCTTCCACAGGTACTGGCTCAAACACGTGGGAGTGCTTTATGAATTTACTACTAACTCTCACTGCCCCCAAAAGAAAACCCTTAGCCAGATCTTGTCCACATAAAAGACAAAATAAACAAGAACGACAGCAACAAGAAAGAACTTGAAACCTGTCCAGAGATTAGAATTGCTTGTTTTATCAATTCGACACTGAAGGTCAACTAAACTTAATTTACAAGGCAACTTCTTGTATATAAAATGCAACATACAAAATACATTTTGCCAGAAGATGTAGAAACCAGCTAGAGTTGGCAGGAAAGGGACTGCTACTGCTCTTCCTCTTTCTCCGACTAAAGGAGGAACTGCTGTTGCTTGCTTTGACAATAATGGATTTTCAGGTAAGCAGTAGTGGGCCAGCTGTCAGGAATTAGTTACTAGTTTTGGAAGTTTAACTAACTCGCCTAGAGTGCTAAAATGGGCATAAAGAAGCAGATAAATGGTGTAAAAGCCAAAGGAGAGCCAAATAAAAGTTTATGTTTATTTCTAAGATTAGAAGCTGTTCTTGTAAAGCTTTTTTAGAGTAGCAATACCAAAATTTATGTTATTGCCTTCATAGAATTATTTTCCTTAAGGAGGAACTCAGTAAAAGGACCCTAACTGCCCTCTTACTCCTACAGTCAATAGGGACCGTGACAACATGATATTCAGGCCTATAGTCTTAAGTTTATCCTAAATGTTTTTTTTTTTTCTCCTGAGTGATAAATAGCAATAGATGCCTATTAGGATTCTGCTTTGGTCCAAACTAATTGTCTAAGTTAGCATCGAAAATCGCATAGAGAAGGGTATTTTAACAGTGCTATACTTCTCTGGAGGTAAATAAGATGATGATGCTGCCCTTTTATGTATTTTCCAATCTACTATAAGCCTGTGGCCCAGCTGTGCATGTATTCCATCAGCTTTAGAGGACATCTGGAATGATTTAAAGTTCTCTGTTACTTCAGCAGCGGAGCAAGTCTTCACAATCCAGGCTCAACAGAAATATTCAGGGGTGGAGCTTACTGGTATGGTGGAAAGAACTACCAGTGATGTGATTCTGTGTCCTCTGAAGTATAAAATGTGTTTCTCATACATATATTCCCATCATTCCCTATTGCTAAGGTCTCCGGATTCAAATCAGCTGGAGCTAATACTGATCATACAGCTTTTTTCATTGCAATTACTAAACGCTGATGTTGCTAGTGCTTCATACAGATTGAATATTCTATTGCAAGCATAAGTTTAAAAAAAAATTTGAAAAGA